CAAATCATCCATAACCACTCCGCCCCAATCCATTCCAGACCGCCCAGCAAAGCAAACCTTACAGCCTCTGTGGTTTCTCCCCTCTTGGTTCGCTCCGACTACCCTGGAGCTCATATGTAATTCATAGGAGCAAAACGTGGTAATGAATGCTTGATATGGCATCATTAAAAATCACCATCAGCATCAATCACATGTTTCTGCCCAAACATTTTCTTTTCCTTGTGGGTCTTTGTAATAAGAATAATTAGTATCATACAAAATTGGTTTGTTCTCTACTTCCAAACTCTGCATTTCTTCATCCATGCCTGCGATAAGAAGAGTCTTTAGAAGTTGTGAGACGCGCTCTTGGAAGTTGTTGTGACTGAATTGTTGAAAGCCTCTCGTAAAATAAATATTTTGATCAAGTTAAGAAATTTGCTTCCTGGTGTGTTGAAGTACCAATAGTTTGCATTCAGTAATTTAATTAAGTGGTCTTAGTTTTGGGGAATTATGCTGGTGAAGATTCTCCGTCAAACAGATCATAGTCATTCCAAAAAAGTTAAAAATCAATCCACTGCACTTTGTTTCCAAGTTTGAACACATTTCGCTTCCCATTCAGGAAGCTTTTTCAATTCAAAATGTCAGAATTAGCATTGAGTTCGAAGCTTTATCCAGAAAACTTGTTTTGCCTTGAAGCAGAAGAACAGGTGCGCCCCTTAGGCTGGGGAGCAGTTTCGGTTCTTTGTTAGCCTGCAATACCCGATACTGGTCTATGCCTCTGAAAGGGGGGTCGTTAGGGGCAATTGTTGCCCTCGCTGCCCAGGTGAGATGTTTTGTTCCCTGCATGGGGTGGGGGTTGAAGGAATAAACTCTATCACAGCATTGTAAGTTATTGAGATTTAAAACCTGAGTCCACCCCCCTCTGTTTAAGAATGATTTTTCTTTCCTAACATAAGTGGCTTCCTTCACACCCCTTTCAAACAACCTGTCTTATTTGTCCAAAATTTGAACATTCTGGTCCTAAAATGAGAGTCCCTTGTCTTTTAGGTGCAGATGGACAGCAGGGTCTTGTCCCATATTTTTGTGATCATGATCACAAACTGGTTTTCCAGATGACCGGCTGCTCAGTCAGATCAAACTTTCCATATTTGTGACTCATAAAACCTTCTCATGCCTGTGCAATATTTTATACTATAAATAACAGCATAATAGAAGCAAACAATAATCAAATACTAAAAGTACTACAAACACTATGATGAGGCTAAGAATCACAAAACTGAGGCCCCGTCCACACGAAGACGAACCCTGGTCTAAACGCACAAATTTTTCACCAAACCAGCCTCTCATCAATACGAAGCCGGCGTTTCGGGGGTCTGTAATCGATCTTTTTTTTATTCAGCCTTCAGAGTGGGAAGATTTTGAAACGCCGTTTTCGCGTTTCCATCTTTAAGCTCTAACCGCATTTTTTTTTTTACACGCATGTGTCATAGCGTCGCCTCTAATCACGCATGCGCGACACAGTATCACAACAACAATGGCGCCGTACTGTGTTGAATGG